TAATAACTAACCACCACCACTTTAAACTCTAAAACGAGATGCCTCCTTTCTTTAGTATATACGGTCTCTTACATCATCACCCCAGACTGAACATTTGCTTCCTGTTTGGTTTAAAAAACAAAACAAAACAAGCTTTGTTATGCTACTTTCAAGAGCCTCTTCTGAAAACAAAGACCACTGACCTGGGATTACAGTCCCTCTGGTGTGGCCACCTCCCTTTGAGAACGCGAGTGGTCTCAGGTGAGCTCCCAGTCATAAGCTGGCCCTTCTACGGGCACCTCTGGGGCATCGTCACCCCTACTGCCACACCCACCCAGACCGTGGCGGCTCTGTGCATTCGGTGCGGTCCTCACCACGTAGGAAATTGGACCCACGTAAGAGTAACTGTCCCACGCGTCAGTTATCACTGTGACACCGGTGACTCCCGGCTCTGTATCTCCAGCTGCGCCCTCTTCCCTGGGACAGCCTCACGCCACGGCGATGCTCCGGATATTTACGACTGAGTCCCATATCTGTCTCAGATTCAGCGTGCCTGGGGCTCCCATTTCGTTCTCCTTCCTTTCCCCATCCAAACTCCTTCAGTCGAGCTCGTCCAGAATTTGTTGATAAAAATCTTAAATCACATTAATATCCTCGAGTCCCGCTTTACTCCTTCCTTACATGCTTCCCACGGTCTTCCCACACAAAAATTTGTCCAGAACGTGGTACGTAGGTTTAAAAACAAAATCATTATCAAAGTGCATTTGTAGGTAAAATGGCATATATTTGCGGGTGAAATGGCGTGAATTTTTTTAATATTCCAGAAAATAAGTGTGTGCGTGTGTGTGCATGCACGTGTGTGAGAGCGTGTGCGTGTGTGAGAATGTGTGTGACTGTGCATGTGCGCGTGTGTGTATGTATGTGTGCAGGCACATGCATGTGTGTGAGAGTGCGTGCGTGTGAGAGTGTGTGTGTGACTGTGCATGTGCGCGTGTGTGTGTATGTGTGCGGGCACACGCATGTGTGTGTGAGTGTGTGTG